TTTTTTTTAGGGGTTTTCTTTCGATTGAGTTTTAATTTGTTTGGTTGCTAGGAAAATGGGGAAAAGGAGAAACCTTTTTAGCTGTTTCTTTTTGCTTATCGTGCGTTTTCTTAGCTAGAGGAATAAAGCATGTTTCGTTGATTAGAATTATTAGGTTAAAGTTTCAATCTTTTGGGGATTTCTGAGATATTTGATCTGGGTTGGATTTCTTTAGACTGTATTTTCTTTTTATTTGCTGTGATTGTGATTTTAGGTAGAATTGGGATTTTTGTTTTGTTTTGGGTGATTTGGTTTGGTTTAGGGATTTTATTCTTTATCGATGATTTTGCCTCGTGTTAAAGTAAATAAATTGGTACTTAAATGATGGGAATTTTATGGGGATACACATGCTTCTTTGCTCATATGGTGTTGTGGTTTTGTATTTTGGTCAAGATGAGTGATAAGTGAATGACTTGTAAAGCCCCTAGGGTAAAATCTGATCTGGTTATCTTAAATATTATTTTCACATGAGTACTTGGATTATTTTTTAAGATTGTAAAATCATTTGAGAGTTTTATCTCATGTGTTGAAAGAAAAAGGAAAAAAAGTTGAGTTTGCGCTTCCTCAGCTACTTAGTGATCCATATGCTACACTGGATTTCAGAGAATAGCTCTGTGAGGTGTTGACCTAGGTGTGTGAGAGTTGTGGACCTTATTTTTTGAAACTTTCAAAAAGAAAAATAGGAAAGAAGGAATTCAAGAAACACTTTTTTCTTGAAAATTTGAGTTATGCATTGATAAATTCGTGATTGAAATTTACAATGCGCGACGTACAATTTGGTAGTTTATGGAGTGCTGTTGTGTGTTGTTTCGGTATTTTATAGTTTCTCTCGTTTGGATACGATTTTCTTTTGTTGTCAAACGCTGCCTCTCTCCCCTATAGATAATCCTTATGATCACAAAATTACTTTGTATCTTCAAAAACAAAATCTTTCTGCGTATGGTTATATCATATTTCTTTAGTTTGTCGTGTAGAAAATATTCTTTTTTTTCCCCAGGGTTTCTTATGGTTATCATATTTGCATCAAGTGTGGGAGTTTCCTATTTCGATTCCAAGTGGATTTCTTTGATAGGACTTGTCCTTTACCCCAAGAGAGGCTGTGTATGAATGCACTGATTTCTAGAGAATTCCTTGTCTTGTCCTTAAGTATGTTACTCCCTTGTGCCAGACAAGCACTAAGCAAAGATATATTTGCCTTGTGCTTCTGATTAGAAGAAATGATGTTTAGTTGTTTAACTGTAGCTGAGTTTTAAAGTTTTACATGTATCTCATCCCTTCTAACCACTGAGACGTTTAGTATAGCCTATTCTGATACAAAATTTTAATTTGGCAGGCTCGTATTAAAAAGATTATGCAAGCTGATGAGGATGTTGGGAAGATAGCATTAGCGGTGCCTGTTTTAGTTTGTGAGTACTTCTGACTTTCTTACGCTAGTAAGATAGTAGTATGGTAGGTTCTTTTATTTTTATTTTTGTTGCTTATACTTCTCTTGTTGCATATTATGCAGCTAAAGCATTGGAGTTATTTTTGCAAGACCTTTGTGATCGTACCTATGAGATAACCCTCCAAAGAGGAGCTAAAACCATGAATGCAGTGCATCTGTAAGTGAAAGATTGAATTTTGTGCATTCATTCATTTATTTATTTTAGGGGATAAATAACAGAACAACTTTGTGTTTAAGCAAGTGCAACAATGGTGAATGAGTAGTCTATGAAATGTACAGTAGTTAAGTATATTGGCCAGATAATGGGCTTAGAGCTAAACAACATATACATGTGCAAAAGCACAAAAGTATAGAGAAACAACTGCTTCCCAATTTGCATAAATAAAGGGAAATGGTCTTATTTTAAAATTTTTTAGAATACCCAAAATGAAGTTTAAAAGTGCATTCCCTATCTCACTAGAAATATCCTAAATATAGGTTGCAAAACTTATTTCTAAGCATAAAAATTCTCAAGTAGTAGAGAAACACAAGAAGCGGGATTGACCCAGCTTAACTAACCTTGTGTTTGCTTATATCATCAGTGCAACTGGATGATAGAGGAATAGATGTTCAATATTCTTAGCTGTTTCCTTGCTCATAATTGCCAAGAAGGCGATGTGCAAACATTAAGTCTCCTGTGTTGAATATTAGAACAAGTATTAATCCTTAAACAATTATTTAAGCAAATGCAAGGCAGTTTATCTTTCCAAATCATTTTGGATGGTTCATCAGTCAACCAATTAGAACAGGATTTACACAAGAAAGTTCTGTAATTCTGGAAGAGTCAGTTACATCTTTTATGGTATTTTTAAAATGAAATATAATAAAGAAGAAAGTTCATCAATCAGCAATAGATTATACGCACTTATTGTTCCCCACAACTAAATGAAAATTATGAGAGAATGAATTGTATCCTTTTCAAATATCCTTCCAATGACTGGCTTGAACCTCTAACCACTAAGCTAGCATGCTACCCATTAGCATCCAGGACCTATTATGTTGGACAGTAACATGCCATAAGTCTATGCTGACCAGCTGAGCTGTTTTCTCTAGTTTGTTGTGTTAATCATCCAAATTTATGTTAAGCTTATACTATCAGATGAATCAAGACTTAAATGTAACTTCCACATACAAGTAATTTATTTGGGATAAGTAATTATTCTTTGACAGACTGAAGCACAGGAAGTATACTAGACTTTCTAGTTAACATATTCATTCAAATCTGTTGGTTACTGCATTACTTTTTTCAAAAAAATTGTTTGTCCCGAAGTCGAATATAAAATATCATGGGGTCCCTGTTACATGAGTCAAATCTAATTGGTCCAATTTGTGAATAGTAATACAAAAGTAGTATGCCTGGATGAGTAAGCAAAAGTGGATTGACCAAGTAATGTTTTGAAGTTGTATTTCATACGGAGCCTTTTTGGTCTTGAAGGAGAAGAAAAAATATGAAAGGATATGGACTGGCCATGTTGAAGCTCCTACTTATTAGTTGCCTTGTGCTATGTGTGTGAACTTCTAGAACATCAACTGTGTGCTAAATTACGTCTTTATACAGAGAAAACTTAATAGTTTCTTGGTTCATTGTTATCATTCTTCTTTTTCACTTTTTGTGAGAACACATCTTTCTGGAATATCGACTGTCTACAGACGAGGACATATCTTTCTCATTTGTATTAAATTTATTAAATCTAATTTCTCTACCTTGATTGCAGAAAGCATTGTGTACAGAGCTATAATGTGTTTGATTTTCTGAGGGACATCGTCAGCAGGGTTCCTGACTATGGTCATGGTCATTCTGATGCAGCTGGCGAGGATCGAGCCATTTCAAAACGAAGGTATATTAGATGGTCTATTCTTGTTATTTCGTATTATCATAAATCCACGTTGTACAGTTATTTGAATCTATTCACTGATGTATTTATTCTGTCAGGAAACCACCAGGTGATGAATGCATTGACAGTGATGAAGAGTTGAAGAGGAGCAAGATGGTAACTCTAATGGCACCCTACAATAAACCGTTATCTTTTTGTTCTTAACATAAAAACAACTGCCATGCTCGTTATGTCTACTCTCAGTTATTGAGATCTCTGTGATTTTTTGTGTTCTTCGTTCTACTTCATTGCTGAAAGACCCTCAACCGGAGTGACATTTCTTTTGGCTTTTTTAGGATGCCGAGGTGTTGGTCTGAAATATTTTTTGAATATATGTAAACAAGTTTGCATATGGACTCTCGGTTTGTTTTGTTTGTACTTGGGCTGAATTAGCTGATAACTAAATGCAAAATGCAAAGAGTTCCACTGATGTCAAAATCTTTTTTTTACTTCTCCGCAGCTTGAGGTTAACCATGGCAGCAGTAGCGGCAGAGGAAGAGGTCGGGGTCGAGGACGAGGCCGTGGACGTGGGCGGGCCAGTGAAAGAGAGACCCTACACCATGAGACTGAATCTGAACCCTGCACATCTCTTCAGCACACCACCAAACCTAATCCAAACCCCGGAATGGTGGTGGATGACGCTTCTGAGTCAAAGGAGGAAATGAAGGAAAATGCTGTTATCCCTGATGAGGCTGATCCTGCAGTTCGAAATTTTGATCTGAATGCCGATGTAATTGAGAATGAGGACACAAAAGCTGCAGTGACAGCCGCCCAAGCAGCGACAGCTGCCCAAGCTTCATCGACAGCTGCCCAAGCTGCAGCAACAGCATCCCAAGCTGCAGCAACAGCAGCCCCGACCTCGTCAGCTGGACCTACTTCTGAGATTAAACATGAAGAATATCCTGGGTGGTCTCTCTCTGATGTGGATAAAATGGCCATTGACCCTCTTCAACTTGCACATTTGAGCGGAAGGATAGACGAGGATGAGGAAGACTATGACGAAGAGGGCTAAATTCCTCTTGATGACTTATCATCCCAAAGTAGGTTAGTGGGATCAAGATCAATTGGAAGCTGTTGAAGGAAAACTAAATAAAAGTATACAAAAGCCGGAATAGTGACCCAATTGGAGATGACATGGCCTGGCCTATGCACTTGTCCCAATGAAGTTGGAATTTCGTTTCCTGTGAAATGTTAGTATCATAGCATTTGCTAACATCCATTTCCAGAAGGTAGCTTTTCCTAACAATGGCAGAGACGATAGCCTCTGCAGTTTGACTCTTAGAAGTGTATGAAGAATATGGCACCCTTGGATAGCGGTGGATTGCCCTATGAGTGGTTGGCCTTTTTAATTTATTATGCTTTGTTATAGATTCTAGGACAAGTAGCTGTGTTGCTCGTTATCTTGTGGAAGGTAATAGTTCTGTTAGGTCTTCAATTAATCTTCTGACCAGTAAATTGGATTTCTATCTCTTTCCTCCCTTGCTCTAGCTCCCAAAAGAGTCCTACAATGGGTTTGCATGTGAGTTGCTAATGATTTGCTTAATTTCAATGAAAGTGGATGGTGATGGGACAGCGGCTGCAATGGTGGCTGATTGAGTGGGAATTCTTCCTTGCTCAAAACTTCTGCAGCCTCAAGCATTTCTTGGTAAATTCATATGAAGTTTCTAACAGGTTCCTTCTCAAATGGGACACAAACCAACTGCAAAGTTCCTTAAAACCATTTTTTGTTTGGTTTTATACTTGAAAGGAAAAAAAACTGGTAGTGTAAAAAATAATCAGAAACTAATATCTTCTCTCCAGCCAAAGCTTCGTCAAAAACAAACGGCATACAGAAGAGTAGCACGCCATACCGCAGATTACACTTCAATTTAAAGGAGGAAGAACCAAAAACTGTTGACAACTAAACAAATCATGAAAGAAAGAAATATATTACAAGAAGGATTCGTCCTACCAAAAACGAAGCAACCATTATTGCTGCCCCTGCAGAGTTGAAATGTTGGCCATGAAGCCTTTCCTCGGGCATACGATACATATACTCAGGCTAATTGTCGGCATTTTGAATTAAGCTTATTGAGTCTTCAGAGTCGTCATTAGATTGTGTTGACGATGGCCATGTTGTTTCTGGATTGTCTTCATCATCCACCACTGGTTTGTCTTGTGGATAAAGGAAAGGCTTTGGAGGCATTTGAAGGGCTTCAGTTTCTCCTTCAAGCATCTGTACTACTTTGCTCATCGAAGTAGGACGCTCGCTAGGCTTCATTTGTATACACCATAATGCCACTATAAGCATCTTCTTTGTTATTTTCATTTCCTCCTCAGTGGCATCTTCCATGTCTATGTCCTTTCCTTCATTGAATTGGTCATAAACCCATGAAGGAAAGTATACTTGACTTGAATGAGCTGCAACTGCATTCAGATTCTTTCTTTTGCCTGCTATTTCCATCAACAACATTCCGAAACTATAGATGTCAGCTTTGCTTGACACACCCCCTATATTTTTGTAAAACAATTCTGGGGCTATGTATCCAATGGTTCCTCTTGCTGCTGTCAAAGTTAAACTGCTCTCATCTAATGGACATAATCTTGCAAGCCCAAAGTCAGAAATCTTTGGAACAAAATCCTCGTTAAGAAGAATGTTGTGAGGCTTGATGTCAAAATGAAAAATTTGCATCTCACATCCTTGATGAAGATAGTCAATACCGCGAGCAACTCCAAGTGAAATTTCAAATGATTTCTTGTAATTTAAGGATGAGGGTCCTTCTTTACGAAAGATGTGTTTATCAAGAGATCCATTTGTCATGAACTCGTACACAAGAGCCCGCTTTGATCCCTCAACACAATAGCCAATTAGTTGCACCACATGTACATGATGAATCCTTCCAATGGTAGCAACTTCATTGATAAAATCTTGCCCATTTGTGTTGGACTTACCCAGCATCTTAATTGCTACAAGGCGACCGCTTCGGAGCTTCCCTTTGTATACAGAACCATAACCTCCTTCACCCAATTTTTCCTTAAAACCTTTGGTCATTTTCCTGATATCCGAGTAGGAGTACCTTATTGGCATGAGGTTGTTGTGACTTTGTAAGAATTCTTCAATGAGTCCATACATTGATAAGTGCCTCCTCTTGAATTTGTAGATTAAAAGCACAATGAGACACAGAGCCCCAAGTATAGCTCTTATTCCAAGTGCGGATGCTGTAAAGGAAGTGTCTGAATGAATCATGGAAATACTTTTTGGTGCTACAACCACAATGTATGGAATTGAAATTGGGCTCTATAGATGCTACTAGAGACCAACTGTTTCACAGAAGTGAATTTTCTTTCCTGGAAAGAGTAAGTTTTATTCTCTCACATGAAACAGTATAATCATTCTTTTTGCTGTGGATAATCATGCTTCTAGGTATGCAAAAGAAAGAACAAAAGAAATTGAGATGAAACTCACCAATGTAAATAAGGATCGAAGACAAAACTGCAAGAAACAGAACAGAAAACTAATAGTTATAATAGCAAATACAGCTTAGACTGGGAGTTGATTGAATCGTTTTTGAAAGGACCACTGAAGAAATTGAAAGCAATACAAGATTGAGAGTCCTCACCTATTAGATATTTCATGATGCCTGCATCACCAAAGTCACAGTTTTCATCAACTTCGAACTTTAGAATCTTGACATGTTCAAAACAGAATATGCCTACAGTTATGGTACCAGAAAACAAATGAAGAGATCTTTGATATACTTACCACAATTGGATTTCGAGTTTCCCCAGTAGCAATCAGAAAAGCAATTAACTTTGTTGGTATCACTGTTGATGTAGCAAGTAAACTGGCTTAGGTCCCTAATGCTGTAGCTCTTCTGCACGCATGTAAGTTCAAAGCCATAGATCATCTCATTGTGGATGTCTATGTAGGAAATGTTCATGTCGTTTGTACGCAGTGATGATGTCATAAACATAAGCTCTATGCGACAAAACTCCCTAAAATCTGAAGCTTTTATTCGTCCAACACTAACATATGAATGCCTATTGGAATTGGAACTACTCATAGAACCAATGCAAGGAGCAGTATCCACATAGAGAGTTGAATTCACCAGGGTTTCACAGGTCAAAAATATTATAGGCTTTGACAGTTCAAAATTGTCATGAAAAAGGTCCCTCCATGTACCTCTCAATTGAGAAACCAGATACGGATCCCCATCACTGAAGTTATACATGGACAAGGAATAATGGGGAATTGAAGAGCAGTTATCCTTATGAAGATTGGCATCCACAACTCGGATTGTGTAGTTACTATAATTGATTGCCTGTACATAATATTTTCCAGCATACAAGTATAATACTGTTAGATTGTTCTCACAAGACAACTCATACCTTGAGTCACCGCACTTCTCTGGATCATGTTTTAGTCGGAAAGGGTAGCTTATGTTACGTATTTCGCCACACACCGAAGGTTCACAATGTTTATGATGATCATCCCTGGCATTGCAACCTACACAGCATAAGCCAGGAACTAGGAGAAGGACTATGAAGAATTGTGTTGGAGAAGCTACTCTTCCTGTAGCCATGGGGAGAGAGAGAGAGAGAGAGAGAGAGAGAGAAGGTGGGTCAATTTCATTTGGATAGCCTATATATCAATTAAAGGGCGCTGCTGACCCTCCTGCTCTTCAATTTCAAGCATTCTAACGCTGTTTCTTGTTGAAGCAGTCAAAGAGAAAAACATCAGAAGAGATTCTTACATTAGGTGATTGTGCTGTTGTTGGAAGTCAAAGAAATAAACAGTTATTGCTAAGTCAAGTATGGAGGCTGAACTCATTGATTTGACTTCAGCTAGTGAAATGGAAATCGGTTGAGAGATTTATTGTATGAAATCCCACTTTGGGAGAAACCAACACCACCTTCTTTGATTAATTGTGAATAACAGTTAGGGAAATTCTATATGAACCCTATTATTTGCTATTTAAACCCCATAATTTTTTACACCCCACTAAATTTTAATAAAATTTCAAATTACTCATTATACCCTTTTTTTTCCTTCCTAAATTGCCCTCATGAATCTCATTCCCTAACTCACTGTGTAAACCCCATCCCATATCATACACCACCCATCGAAAACCCCCTTCCCTTTCAGACAATTTGATATCAAGCCCCACCCCATCGAAAATTCCCTACTCTTGCAGACATACCCCATCGCACACCCCATCAGATTTACAACAAGCTCCATCGCACACCCCATCCCCTTTGAAACAAAGCCATCGCACAACCCATCTCTGCAAACCCGAACCCATCTCTGAAACAGAGCCATCACACCCCACAACCAACCCCAAACGCCTCACCCCGTTGCAAACCACCATCTCCTCAGCCATCTCAAGCCTCCATCACCAATCTGTCAAGTTTTCACAAATCCATCGAAGAGCCAAGGTTTGATTTCAATTTTGATTTTTATATTTACGTTTCTAAGTGTTGATTAAGCCTACGTTTGATTTCACTTTTGAAAAGCCAAAGTCTGATTTTAATTTTTGATTTCAACATTGTGGGTGTATGGTTCGAATATGGTTTTACGAAACTGGATTTTAGTTTCGGTGGATTACCACCGAAATGGTTACATTGCTTCAGTGGTAGTCCACCAAATTTGAACCTGATCTATACTAAAATCAATTTTACTTTCGGTGGGGGTTACCACCGAAATCGTTACCTTGTTTCCGTGTTAGTCCACCAAATTTGTTTCTATTTTTCCAGGAGATTCCCACCGAATGTATTTCGGTTTTTCAGTGGTACTCCACCGAATATGTGTTCTTTTTTCAGTGATCATCTACCGAATACGTTATTGAGTGTGTACTTAATATTGTTTGTTTTTAGATATGAAGAGGACTCGCAGAGGTACTACTGAGCCTTCATCATCTCGACCTAATAGACAGCGTCCCATGGCCTCAACGAGGAGACAAAGAGCGGCTCCCCAAGATCACTTTGAGGATACTATAGAGATTGAAGATGTAGCTCCTACTCATGATAGTAATATACTGAACATGATTAATTATTTTCAAAGCACAGCAGAAGCAACTTTTTTCAAAAGTGACTCAATCCTGCAGATTGTTCCTGAGAAGAATGAAGAATTGAAGAACTTTCCCTTTTGGGAAGTAGCCGTTAGCTACTCTAGCTATTTTGGGATAATTTCTACAGCTGGTTTTTTTTGTCTGTTTCTTAGCTGTACTGTGTTAACAGACTCTAGCCTAGGTGTAAGAATCGTAGCCTCCAATCATTATGAATGGTAGGAGATGAGTCCTTGTATCCTAAAATTTAGGATCCTGATTTTGGCACCTTATGTCATGTATATGAGCAGGTTTTTGCTCAGACCTGAATATAGAAAAGAAATACAGAACATTTTCTCACTTTCTCTGGTTTTTTTCTTCTCTCTTCTGCATAAACGTTTTTCTATATACCAAAAACCAACATGGTATCAGAGCTCTTGGTCTGAATCCAGAGAGGGGCGTGAGCTGTGAGAGAGAGAGCTTTCCTGAAAAATTCCCAAAAGGGATAAAGGTTGCTCTTTTATTGTTTGGTTCACTAAGACTCACTAGGAAAATGGTGGGATCAGGTTCTTCAGGTGGAGATTTACGAACTCCACAATTTGATGGTGCAAACTACGATTTTTGGGCTGTCAAAATGGAGACTATCCTCATAGCACATGATCTATGGGATGTAGTAGAGGTCGGAGTACAACCTCAGCCGATTCTCGAGGAGGAAGAAGGCTCTGGAGGTGAAGGAAGTGAGGCTGAGCAAGTTCCAGTGGAAGCACCCATCATCTCCAGAGAAGACAAAATCAAAAATGCCAAGGCACTGAGTCTTATTCAAGGAGCATTAATTGATGAGCTCTTCCCTAGCATCAGAAATGAAAAGACTGCAAAACACTATGCCAAAAAAGACCTTTAGCAACGGATAAAATTCGTTGCCTATTACCTATAAATACCGTGGTAGTCAATGCGTAAATGATTTCCATGTGCCAAAAAAAACGTTGACTTCTGATGTCTAAACCTAAAACAACATCAATGGCTTTAAAATGGAGGAGGCTAAAGAGATATTACAGCATCAGTGATATCACCTATATTGATGCATATTATCAATTACAACATCGTAGAAACAAATAGTGCTGTTGCGAATTATGTTATACTTCATCGCTTTTTCTATTTTGCGGACATGAAAAGCCTCCAATTGCCCTGGTTGTTATGTAAATGCTGATGCTACTTCTAATTTTAGGCATCAGTGATCATAGATGTATGGTGGTTGTTTTAATATTTTAACTTCAGTTATTTTTGCAAAATTGAAGTTGTTATAAACAATAGGCATCACTTATGTAAGGAAAGTGTAGGCATTTTGCATGTTCCACTTCACACTTTACTTGGTTACTATCCTAGAATAATAAAAAAAGGCATCATTTCCAAATCACGTTGTGTTGCCATTGCTCATAAAAAACATAAATAAATAGTAATTTAAATATATCCATACTTGTCTCTATATATAAGCAAAATACTTGAAAGATCCATACTTATCACATCCAAATCACAATTTTTCCAACCTGACACCACAAATTATCCATACTTGTCTACATTTACGCAAAATACTAGCTAGAAAGACATGAAAAATGAAGGAGGAATGTTTAGTTCAATCAAAAGGCCATTATAGGACATGAGTTGCCAATTCTTCTCGCACCTCATCCAATTCCATTTGGGTGTACGTGTCCTTTCGTCTAACTCTATGTCATTAACAAGTGCTTTGAACAATGATATCTCCATCACACCTGTGTCAATATACAAACAAGTAAAAATAGTCTCTTTGCAGAACGAAAGGAATAGAGACAAAGTCTTAAGAAGTAATGGAAAAGCAAACACAGAATTAATTTCAAAATAATAACGACCATATTGCATACGCACAATAACAATAACTGATTTCCTAAGAAGTTACATTCAAATGAGTTGACCTTTCTAAAAATTGGAATCAACTAAATTGGACTAGTACCAGAAAAGTCCATCTTAATGAAGAGGGTGAACTCGAACAGATTTATAATTCAAATCTAGGCCAACTGACAGATATTCTACTTGCATATATATACAATATGTAGATTTTTCCTTTCTTTCTGTAACTGCTTTAAAGGCTTATCCAACGATATTTGAAACCAGCATTCTATTGGCCACCAAAGAAAGTTCCTCCCATGAAGGTTTCAACAAAATGAAATATTCTCCTTAACAAAAATACGTAATTATGTCTTAAAATTCAGTGAAGGACACTAATTACCATGATATATTCAACCCCTAGTTCAAGCTGGTCAAACTGCACAGAACACCTACTACGGTCGACGGTTAGTACAATTCCATTGTGGATCTCTCTTGCCCTGGGATGAAAAGCAATGACATGCTGTCCAATTGATAAAGGCCGAGCTGAGTCAGTCAGAAGTCCGTCCCTAGTACCAGCATTAAGTTCAAGAGACAAAATACATATTGCAGGAACAAATTGACACAAAAGACCACTAGAACTATTGATAAGCACTGAACAGTACAGCTAAAAAAAGACAAACACAGCTTTATTCAAGCATGCAAAATGTAATTCAAGTTAAAATCTTCATGACATATACAGAGGCTTTTTTTCCTTTGTATACTTTCCCTCTTCTTCTACAATTATATATATACAATTACATATATAGTAGTTAGAATGTAAAACATAACAAGCATAAAACAAAAGAAGTTTACCACTTCTTTGTTTCTCATCCACATGCTATCTTTTACTCTATTGTATCTCTAATTTATTTTCTCTGCCTTTTCCAGAATTGTTTTACCACCACTGGCTAGAATGAGGTCATATATCTCAGAAGAAATTCACTAGAAATTGAAATTTATGAGAATAACACAGGAGATGCAATCAAACCATAAAACTCCTGGACATATTGGACTATTGTGTTTCTGCCTAATTGGAACCATCAACAATTTTAGCAACAATCAAAGGTTCAAACAATCTATTTGAAACAGCTTTCCCATTAACATAATAAGCTGTTACTGCTGAGCATTTTCTCAAGAGAACAATTTGGGGTCACATTACCTATATAGCCATCAACAGTACCTATATACTCATCTTTCAGACCAAAAAATTAAAACATAATAATTAAAAAAGTTATAAATGCAAAAGAGACGGGAAAACATGTTAAATCAGGTTACCTGCCAATCTCAATTGCATAATCACCACGGATGGTTCCAGGGGCAGATTCTGCTGGGTTGGTGGCACCAATAATCTTTCGACCAGTTAGGATAACATTCTTACCCTCCCAAATCATAGCAACAACGGGATCAGAAATAATATAATCAACCAATCCACCGAAAAGGGCTTTGCAGACAACAAGTCCTTGTTGGCGAGTCCATACTTAGTTAGGATTTTGGTTCCTTATTTCATTAGAATTTTGGTTACTAACCAATTATTATTTGGGTGATTTTATAGGCACCCCATTATTTGCTCTTTACACCCCATACTAATTTTAAATATGAATAACCTATTTTACCCTTGTACATAATTACCGTTAAGGACAAAAAAAATTTAAAATTAAAATTAAAATTGCTTACTACACCCCACATATGTTCGGGTGATTTTATTGGCACCCCATTATTTGCTCTTTACACCCCATACTAATTTTAAATATGAATAACCTATTTTACCCTTGTACATAATTACCGTTAAGGACAAAAAAAAATTTAAAATTAAAATTAAAATTGCTTACTACACCCCACATATGTTCCTGCGACCCTAATTTGACTTTTTTGTCAAACTATCATGTTCCTAAACCGTAAACCCTAGATCTATACGTTTATGCTGGTGAAAAAATATCTTGTATTTATTCATGAAGGGTGAGATTGAAGTTAGAGAGGCTTCGAATGAGGTACGAGTTTATTTTTTGGCGTTTTGCAAGTTTAGTATTTCATAACAGCCGCTGGTTGTGTTCAGCACATCAGTACCGAACACGACAGGTAAATTCGGTGGGATGCCACCGAAACGTTGTACCGTTTTCGGTTGGCTTTGACTGGTCAATAACTTAATATTCGGTGGAGATCCACCGTAAGATGGAACATAGTTCAGTGGTTTACTACCGAACTTTTACTTGCGTTTCAGTGGCATCCAACCAAAATTTATTTATTTTTTCAGTAACTTATTGCCGACCACAAATTTAATCCAAGCTATTTTGATCTTACTCCCATTGAAGGAACAAAAACAAGGTGACGCCCCTACTGAAGGCAACAATGTGGGAACAGAATGTGTAATGGACTATAGTGATCAATTCACAACTTATTCGGTAATTATTTGTCTGAAATTCTTTTTAGTATCATTAACGTGGCATTAATGTTTCAAATGTTATGTTTAAATAATATGAGTTTTATGTGTAGATATTCAATGGTAGAGATGCATTACTTCGATGGGCTTGTGAACAAGGAAAATTGAATAATATTGTCATTGTAATTAAAAGGTCTGATTATGGAGGTGAGGGCAAGAGGAGACCTCGTGTAATACTTGCTTGTGAGAGGAACCGTAACTATAAGTCTTGCAAGTCTAGTGAGACAACTGATATAAGGTCGGATGCAAATAGTGATATGAAAAAATGTGCTAGGGACATTGGTACCAAGAAATGTGGATGCCCATTCTTGTTAAAAGGTGTCAATATTGGTGATGGGGATAATTGGAAGTTGGGGGTGGTTTGTGGCGTACACACACGCTTGGTACCTCGAGTACAAATGTGTTACATTGCATGTGTCACTTTGTTCATGCCACATTTTATTGTTCGTTTTTAGATATGAAGAGGACTAGCAGAGGTACAATTGAGGTTTCATCATCCCGATCTAATAGACAATGTCCCACGGCTTCAACGAGGAGACAAAGAGCGGCTCCTCAAGATCACTTTGAGGATACTACAGAGGTTGAAAATGTAGTTCCTACTCATGATAATAATGTTGACGCAGAGGTTGAAGAAATGTAAGGCATTGACGCATGCTTAGAAGAATTAAAACCACATTATAACATGTGGCAATAATATGCCCCATATCAGACATGGTCATCCAACAAAAGAATGGTGCAAATCCATCATCAAAATAATTTAGCGCTCGCTCAATCTCGTTGTACTGTTTATGTTCCCGAATACACTTCTTAAAAACAGAAGACATATCATGTAGTTGCTGCAACAAATCCTTGCGTACCCTACGCCATTCATTATGACCAAATCTCATTGCCATAGCTATGGTTCTATATCCACAGTTACCATCCGGAAGAACTTCAGTCTGGTGAGTGATATATTTCCTAATACCCTCAGGGAATTTCTCTATATGCATATATATATAGAACGTTGATTGGTTTTCGCGAGGCTTATAGAGCTGAAAATAAAACAAAATATTAGTTATATGGTAATAACACATTGTAAAATAAAACATTGGTAGTACATACCTTAAATTTTTTTGGATTAGACAACATGGAACTAGAAGCAACCATGTTTCTTTTTTTTGGCACTGCAGTGGTACTTTTCTTCGGTCGTCAATCCAAGATGCATACAAGTGTCTGTCCATGCGGCCACAAACCTATCCTTAAATGGATTTAACCAATTTTCATGTATGTATTCAAGAGCTTTTTGAAATTCACTGAACTTAGACTCAATCTGTCGCAAACAGATGGGGTGTGCGATGGGGTGTGTCTGCAAGAGGAGAGAATTTTCGATGGGGTGTGGCTGGATATCAGATAGGGTGGGGTTTGATTTCAGATGGGGTTTGTCTGAAAGGGAATGGGGTTTTTGGTGGGTGTTAGGGAATGGGGTTCATGAGGGCAATTTAGGGAAAAAAAAGGGGTTTAATGAGTAATTTGAAATTTTATTAAAAGTTAGTGGGGTGTAAAAAATTATGGAGTGTAAAGAGCAATTTATGGGGTTCATATAGAATTTCCCTTATTATTTAGTCCTATTGTAATAGAGATTTACTTCATATTGTAATTTAGATATATTTCTTATTTTATTTAGGGTTAACACATCTTTGTACTTGTATAAATACCTATATAGGAGAAGAATAATAAGATGAGCGTATCTTAGCATAACTGAATATTTGCCCTACTTTGTTTGACATGGTATAAGAGCCTAGGTTTTCTTGTGACCTGTGTTTGCGGTCTCCTTGAGAGTCGTTGCTAATCCTTGAGATCCTCTGACAAATTGAGAGTCGTTGGCGTTCCTCATTCCTAACCCATCATGGGTCTTCACCTTGCTGTTGTAAATCCCCGTTTCTCCTTTCCTTAATAATCAACATATATTTCTTCTGCCTTAGCCATAGCCGCACCTTTTTGCAATTTTATCCTTGTCTCTATCCTTATCGTGTTTATGTTGAGTCATTACCTTTCTTTTTCTATACCTATGCCTGCTGCTGCCTTTTTCTCTTACTTTTCATCTCTTTATGAGCTTGCTTTCTGTTAAAATCAGATTGAGCCTATGTTAGTTTCAGTCTTTTGCGCTCACAGCTGAGCCTCTCTTTTAAATGTATACCATATGGGCAACACGCCCTTGGCCATTGATGGCCTGATATCTTTCCTCCGTGAGCCTCGTCACCGTTCACCGAGCCATCTCAAACCTCCGCGAGCCTCGTCACAGCTCGCCGAGCCTTCTCTTAGTTGGCCTTTGTCTCTCTCTGTCCTACCGAGCTACACTGTCGATATTTTTTCCCATTTGATAATGTGTTTCACTTCTTGCCCAATAACATCTGTGTTTTCTTACTCTCTATTTATTTGGGTGTTACTTTCCTCAAATCTCAACTCTCATACATCGTCGGATTTGAGGGGCATTGACACTGATGCTCATCTATTCTATTGCAATTCACCTACCTATCTATCATGGTTGATTGTCCGTGCCTGTTTCTCAAGTACCACTGCTCATATGTGCTTCATTGACCCCTTCTCTTAAGGGGGAGAGGGGAAGTGAAGAGAAGTTGTCTCTGTTGTTGCTGCTACCACAATTGTTTGCTTAGGGGGAGTGAATTGAAGTTGTCTCTACTGTTGTTGCTGCCACAGTTGTTTGCCCTGCCTTATCTTGGTGGTGCTAGTGCCTTATATTGCTCTTACTAGTGCCAGTGCCTTGTGTT